GGGTAGGGGGGGTGGGGGGGAGGTTCTGTGTGGGTTAAATGAAAGAAAGAATACAGAAAGCACCTGAAATGTGTTACACGATCCGCATGCACAAAAATGGGTAGTTGGTATTTGTTCTGCTTCCATGCTGTGTGACCTTAAGCAGGTGATTTAACCTCTCTGAACCTCAAGAGTGTGATTGAATAATCTTATAGGGTGGGTTACGAGGGTGTTTTATAAGGTGACCATCAAGATTCAGTGGCTCTAATCACTTCATAATAAGCTATCAGGATGGCTCTCCCCACCCACCCCTTGGAGTAGATCAATTCAATCCTAGTATGCAGACCCAGGAACACCTTTGCTGGCAGAAAACAGGATTATGTCTTGGTATTTCAAAAATACTTAATGTGTAGAAAATTGTGAGATGGAGCCTTTTTTGTCCTTTAACTTTCTAGAGAATGGGCAAAAGGTAGCCACTTTTCAGAACTTGAATGATGGAGGCTACCATGTTTGGGGCTGCTCTTTGGGGAGTGACTGTTGAGGGAGAAGGTTCAAGGGTCATAGTATCAGCTTTGGGGTCAAACGGTCTGGTTGGAGACTCAGTTCTGGCATTTCCTGGCCCAGGCAGGGACCGACCTCAGAGCCACGAGGGTCAGTGGGGTGGTGTGTGAGGAAAACAGTTTGCAGGCATTAGTGGTGTCGTTAGCACGCCCAGAAAGTGACCCTGGCATTCTCCCCAGCTTGCAGACTACGGCCACCCGTTTCTCTTACTCTGTGCACAAAGGGTCCTCATTTTAACATGTACCAGTCCAACCCCCTGGCCTCTGTCCTGGGTGCCTGCCAGCTGATGGGGCTCCATTTGAGGTGAGTTGGAGCCACCGTGGCCCTCTCTCCTCTCATGAGACATTATTTTAATGTAAAGGCACGGCTCAGACAGAGAGCTTGTTGAAATTCACCGTGGCCATCCTCACTGACACCCATTGTGTGTCTTAATGGTGGCTCTGGTGGGTGGGGCTGGCGGGGTAGAGCAGGTGCATAGGGCATCGGTGCCCAGCACCTGTTCTGGGCCGCAGCTGCTGGCCCACAGCGTGTCAGGCCCCTTTAATCCGGGGAGTATCGCATGTACAGTGTCCCCCTTGGCAGCCTTTGTCCCTGCCAGCCTGGTGCTGATTTCACACTCGCCAGGAGCACCGTAAAGGCGCCTGGGGTGGGGGATCAGTGAGGGGTGGAGGGCTGTGCCTCCTGCTTGCACACAAACCTCCACCACGTCACATCCGACCAGGCCTCCTTCCCCTTTGTTCAGGCTTATGTCTGGTCATACTTAGCGTTGAAAGTGTTCATTGAGCACTTGCTGTGTGGAAGTCAGTGCTCGGAGCTTCCTTCACTGGTGTTAACATAGTAATTCCATCATCTACCTTAGGAGGGAGATGCCGTAATCCCCACCTTACAGATGAGGAAACTGAGGCACAGAGAAGGAAGTTACTTTCTCGAGACACAGCTTCTAAGACTGGAGATGGGGCTCCTTCACCTCCCCGAGGTGGTTAGAGGGAGGTGGCTCTCTGTGCCCTGGGGAGGACAGAACTCCATCTCATTTGCCAGATTTGCTTAACCTTTGTTCACAAAGGAGTGTGTGAATGAGGAGGAACTTCACGTAGACCAGTGGTTTTCAACCTTCTGGCCCTTTAAATACAGTTCCTCATGTTGTGACCCAACCATAAAATCATTTTCGTTGCTACTTCATAACTGTAATGTTGCTACTGTTATGAATCGTAATATAAATATCTGATATGCAGGATGGTCTTAGGCGACCCCTGTGAAAGGGTCATTCGACCGCCAGAGTGGTCTCGACCCACAGGTTGAGAACCGCTGACTTAGACCTTGTAGAACACAATCATCAAACTCTTCAGGCCTGGTATACAGAGGGTGCTCAATAATGGCAGAGCAAATTAGATCCCTTTCCCAATTCTCTGGCTAGGTAGCCCCCCTTCTGCTTCAGGAGACAGCTTTTGAGCGGATAGGCCCCACAGTCAGCCCCAGGCATCTGACTTCTGGACCCCTCCTTCCCCGTGCCCAGTACAATACCCCGGCACACAGTAGGCCGCTGGAGTTCATTCATGCCCTGCTGTTCTTGAGTTCCAGCGCTGGGATTTAACTAGTGGGCCATGGCCTAGGGCTTATCAGTGGGAGGGAGGAGAATTGCATTTGATTGATTGCTTTTCTTTCCTTTTTGTTCTTGAGAATTGTATTTTTTTGGAAAAGACTATTCAGTGTTATAAAATAGTGCCCAGCACATAGTGGGAGCTTTATAAGTATTTGTTTAATGAGTTACTGTTCTGGCTTTTTATTTGGGAAATGCTGCATCCCTAAGGAAAAAAAAAATACATAACACTGTCATAACATCCTCTTGATGGCGACAGGAATTATGACAAAGGTGATAGGGTGATTGATGTCAGGGGCTTCTGAGGTCTTCACAGAATTTATTCATTGTACAAGTGCTTACTGAGCACTTACTGTGTGCCTAGTGTATAAGGCTTCCAAAAACAATCTCATCCAGGCAGGTGGCTGGAGGCTCACAGGTGGGGACGGGTTTTAAACAAGTCCTAAGGTAAAAGGGTTCTGTAGCCTCTTGGGGGGCAGACAAGGAGACTTGAAATTACCCTGAGTGTGATGAGCTTCAATTTGGCCCAGAGCAGTGGCCAAATCTGGGATGGACTGGGGGCCGAGGAGACCTTTAAGGCCGACTCTTAATGCTCTATCCCCAGATGAAGCCAATTCAGGAGACAGGACAAGGAACACCCACCACAGCCTCCTTAACTGAGCGGCCGTCTGTGGAGGGGTCAAAGTCAAGGACTCAGTCAGGCTGCTTGGTTCCTGCTGGCTGACCCTGCATATGCTACTGGCTTCCCTGTGCCTCGGTGTCCTCCTCTCTAAACGGAGGCAAGGACAGGACTGAGTGAGGAGTGCTTTTACACTGTCCCTGGCACAAAGTAAATGTTCAGTAAACGCAGTTGCCATCACTTCCTGCCGGCACTGTGTGGATGACCACATTATTCAACATTCGCGGGTACCAAACCCCTGTGGGTGGGGGGTGAACAGCACCTTTTACCTGGGAGCAGATGGAGGCTCAGGCGCCAGAGGACCTGCTCCAGGCCACAGGGTGGGGCACAGCAGAGCTCCCAGTCACACCAGGCCTTTGGACACCGGGGATGGCCTGGCTTTTCTGGGTCACAGGGCTCCTTCAGTGTTGGGGTGAGCAGGGCTCTAAGGGCTGGGGTGGGTGGGTAGGAATCTTGATAAGTGTCAGCTGTTGTCAGAGACCGAGCAGTCTCCTGACTGCCTCCTGCTTTCTCTCCCCAGGGGAGAAGCCCTTCTCCTGCTCCCACTGCAGCCGTGCTTTTGCCGACCGCTCCAACCTGCGGGCCCACCTCCAGACCCACTCAGATGTTAAGAAGTACCAGTGCAAGACGTGCTCCCGCACCTTCTCCCGCATGTCCCTGCTCCACAAACACGAAGAGTCCGGCTGCTCAGGAGGCCCCCGCTGACCCCCACGGCTGCTTCTGTCTCTCCAGACCCTCCCCCTGCAGCGGCCTCCCCTGCTCTGGAAGGACGGACTCCTGCATCCTTCCCACTGCCGTGGAATTCCCTTCTGAGCTCCCCTCTTGGCTGTTGTAGCTTCACAGGGCGCTGAGGACCGTTTCCAGTGTGTCTGCTTGGGGGGCCTCGGTTGGCTCTGTGGACGGCTGATGGGAGGGTGGCCCCTTCTGGCAGCCACTGCTCCCCAGCGAGCGTTCTGGAGTTGGCCTTGATGTGTGGGCTTGTGTATCCAAAACTGTTTGGATACAGCTGCTTTGAGCTACAGGACAAAAGCCAACAGACTGATAGAGGCTCCCACCCCACTCAGGGGACCCCACTCCTCCCCACCCCAGAAACCCTCAGGCCACCTCTCCAGGAGGTGTGAGTAACTGCAGTGATCCACCCCCCAGGGTGTCCACGGGGCCTGGGGGGCGGTCTCTGACACAAGGACATGTCTAGACCCCAGGATGCCCCAGGCCCGGGCAGCTATTTCAGCCTCCTGTTTGTCATGGTGGCACCTGTTTCACGGGCAATTTAACAGCGTCTCAAAAGGGAATGTGAGTAATTGCCGTCACTTGTCAGGGGCCCAAATAGGGTGCTTCGGCCCAACCAATATGTCTCCCAGAACTATTTTCAGGGACCCAACAGGTGGGCCCAGGAGGAAGATGTTTACATTTTTTTAAAGGTACACTGGTATTTATATTGCAAGCAACATTTTGTACTAAGGAAACATTTTGTATAGTTATATGTACAGTTTATTGATATTCAATAAAGCGGTTAATTTATATGTAAGAAAGTCTTGGTTTTCTAGAGGAGCGGGTATTTTAAAGGGCCTTTAGGGAGGCGGTGAGGGGAGGATTGGTGGAGCTCAGAGACTACTGACGCAGCCTTAAATCTTGTCCTAAACATCATGTGACTCCGGACTCCTGGGTTTGACAGGGACCTTGTTTGTGCAAATGGGCTTTCCTGTGAACCTGTGTCCTGTGTGATGTGGAGGTGGGGAAGCACCTGTGGCTGGGCGGTGCGGGGGTTGGCGGGGGATTGGGGGGGTGTAGGCCCCTGCACGCTACATGTGGTGCTTACTCTCTGTTGACCATTTTGAAGCTGACCAGGCCCACAGGCTGCGAAGCTGGCTCCCTGGGTCTTATCAACTCGACAGGCTGGGGGCTGTGCCCCGCACCGCAGGGCTTGGCTGCTGCTCCCAGCTGACGAGGGGACAGAGGATGTCCTTCCTGTTTCCAAGGGCTCTGGGCCCCGCTGGCCTCCCTGTTGGACCCACACCTCCGTCTGGCCACTGGGTACCAAATGGCCTTTGATGCAAGGAAATTGTCTGGCTGGAGCCAGGAGGGTGAGAAGCCAGGCCAAAGGGTAGGGGTCATTCAGCTTCCTGCTCCAGGACGGGACGGGACGGGAAGACAGTCAGCGTGCCTCCTGGGCTGGGATAATTCACTCCTGGCTGGCAGGCTGTGGCGGTGACCTCACCTCGGGGCCCTCCTGGGGCCAGAGAAAATGAGTGTCCTTTCTGAGCACAAAAGGTGCTGAAGGTGCCAGTTTCCTGCGGGGAGCTGAGCAGGCGTGCAGGCGGCCCAGAGGCCCAGAGCTCGGAGCCCGGAGTCAGGCTGGGGGTGGGGGGAGCTTCATGTTCCAAAGGAGAGATGATTCTTTCTTCTAAACAGGAAATGGTGACCCGCAGGCCGGGAGCAGCCCTTAATGACTTGCAGCTTTCCTCCCAAAAGAAAAAAAAAAAGTTCTCTAACAATCGCCAAATTGTAGCTGGCCTCCCTGAAGGGAAGTTAGAGAGTTGGGGGGGGGGGGAGTTAGAGAGTTGGGGACCCTGCGGGGCTGGGCATCAGTTTGCTGAAGGCCTACTGTGTCCTAGGTCCCCAGGCTGCCATTTACATCCACCCCACAGTAGGTGCTGACATTGAAGGAGAATGAATAAATGACTTCACTCCAAGGGACGGGCCTGGTGGAAAACGCCGGCTGGCATTGGAAGTTGGGTCTATCCTGGGGGCCAGGTCTGCCTGGCTCATGCCCCTGACAATCAGGATGCCTGGACCACGGTTCTCCTGGACACTCGGTTTCTGCTTCTATACAATGGGGTGATGATGGTGCCTCCCTCTGGTTTAATGAGCTGTGTGTGTGCCAGGTCCTGTTCTGGGCCCTGGGGGTACAGCCGTGGACAGATGGACAGTCCCCGCACTCACGGAACTTACGTTCTAGCTGGAAGACAGAAAACAAACAAGTGATTAAATAAACAAGCTGCTTTCCTACAGTGACGGTGCCAAGATGGAATTAAAGTGAGCGTTTGCTGGAGAGCCACGGGTGGGGCCCCTCAGATAGGAGGCCCGGAGCCGGAGAGGGAGCCGGAGAAGGGCTGACATTCCAGGGGAAACCTGAAGGAGGAGAAAGTTCCAGTCAGAGGAGGGTGCAGCGAGGGCAAAGGCTGAGTCTGGGAAGAGCCGCCCCCACCCCCCCACGAAAGACCAGGGGCCTAGGGGCTGGGGGGGTGGGGGGCGGCTCAATTGGTGGGCCTGCCAGATCCTGCAGAGCCTGTGGGGTTGGGGTCACAGTGCAGCCCAGAGGGTGGCTACTGGGGCTTCTTAAAATATATATTTTTATTGATTTCAGAGAGAAAAGGAGAGGGGGAGAGAGAGAGAGAGAGAGAGAGAGAGAGAGAGAGAGAGAAACATCAATGAAAGAGAATCATTGATTGGCTGCCTCCTGCATGCCCCACACTGGGGATCGAGCCTGCAACTCAGACATGTGCCCTGACTGGGAATCGAACCGTGACCTCCTGGTTTATAAGTCGATGCTCAACCACTGAGCCACGCCATGCGGGCAGCATATATTTCTCAAGGACAAGGACATTCATATAACCATAGTTCAATAATCAAAATCAGAAAATTTAGCATTGATGCTATGTCTAATCCATAATCATGGGTTACGGTATTAAGTTTTTCCAGCTGCCCCAGTGATGCCTCCATAGTCTAAAGTTGCATTTACTTGTCCTGTCTCTACTCTTTTATTCTGAAACAACTCTTTTCTTGGTCTTTCTTTTTTTGTCTGTGCCTCGCGCGGCACCAGGACGGCCAAGGCCGCCCGCCCCCTGGGCCACCAAGCGCTACTCTACCCCTCGGTTCTGGCCGCCGGGAGCAGAGGAGCTCCGGGCAGGCAAAGCTTGAGGGGACTTTCTTTTTTTTTTAAGTATATTTTTATTGATGTCAGAGAGGAAGGGCGAGGGAGAGAAAGATAGAAACATCAATGATTAGAAAGAATCACTGATCAGCTGCCTCCTGCACGCCTCCTGCTGGGGATCAAGCCCGCAGCCGTGCATGTGCCCTTGAGCAGAATCGAACCCAGGACTCTTCAGTCTGCAGGCCGACGCTCTATCCACTGAGCCAAACCAACCAGGGCTTTTCTTGGTCTTTGGTGAGGTTGACATTTTTGAAGATTTCAGGCCAGCTGTTTGTAGGATGTTCCCCAAATTGGACTTTCCCAGCGCTTCCTGGAGACTGTTTAAGTTGTGCACTTGGGGCAGAATCCCAGAGGTGGTGTGTCTTAGTGCAAGGTGTCATGAGGCACACAGGTCAGTTTGAACATTACTGCTGAAGTCAGCGTGGACCGCTTGGTTAAGGTTGTCCATGCCAGTTTCGCCTGGGTAAAGTTCCTCTTTCCCCCTCTTGTACTTAATCCGTATCTTGTGGGGAGACGTTCCGAGACTATGTGAATATCCCCGTTACTCCTCAAACCTCCACCCACGAGTTTTAGCCCTCACTGGTGATTGTTGCCTGAGTCAATTATTACTATGGTGGCTGCCAAATGGTGATTTTCTGTTTGTACTGGTTGGCTTTCTGCTCCTCTGAGTTTTCCCTCTGTCCTAACAGCACCTCAGAGCTCTGGGGGTGGGGGACGTGGGACGGGGAGCAACAGGGTCTGGGGGGGCCATGAGATCCTCCCCTGGGCTTTTCTTTAAAGTGAGTCCAGAAAATAAATTGGCCGTAAAGCTGCTCTCTGTGCAAGTGTCCAGGCAGGCAGGTCTGGGGCCAGGGCCACCTCTGGGCACATCTGGGCCCCATTAGTGACTGGGCAGCTCCTCATGGATGTCCCTTGAGCTGGGATGGGCGGAACTCTGGTGGGCAGGGATTTGATCCTCCTTGCTCCTTTTTGCTTTCAAACCGTCAATTTCACACATGTTAAGTGAATTAATTTTTTCATTTAAAAACATGAGAAGATTAGATGTGAGGCCCAAGTGACATGTGATCAACACACCAATCTCGATGCCTTTACTGCCCCCAGTGTGATGCTGTGAATATCTCTTTGGATTAGAGAAAATAAACATATATATGTATATGCACACCTGGCTCTAATCTCACTCCCAGGAAAAGCCAAAGCCCTCACCTTGACCCACGGGTGCCTCACCTCTACCTCTTCCCCTCTCCCATCCCCCTTACTCCCTCCAGCCCCAGGGCCTTCTGCCACCTCAGGGCCTTTGCACTTACAGCTCTTCTGCAGGAAGACTGAGCCTCCAGGGCCATTTGGCTGGCTTCCCCCTCCCGTGCATTCCAGTGCCCGCCCCGTTTTTCTCCATAGCACTTGTCACCATCAACAAACCATATATTTCACTGTTCACAGTTTCTCTGCTGACTGTCTCTCCCACCGGCATGTCAGCTTCATGCGGGTGGAAATTCTGTCTGCGTTACTGACTGCCAGGTCCCTGGTGCCTCAAGTCTTGAACACAGGAGGCGTACACTCAGTAAAACTTGGCCGAATGGATGATGAACGCATGTATGTGTGAACCCAGGAAACACAGCGTGATCACCACTCTTAGGGAGCACCTTCTATGTGTCAGACTCAGCACTGAGCGCCACACGGAGATGAACTCATTAAACCTTCACAACTGACTCCAGAAAGAGGAAACCAAGACACAGAGAGGTTAAATAACTTGCCCAGGATCACACAGCCAGTAAGTGGCAGCGCTGGGATTTGAATCCTGAGTTCTTTTATTACTGCTGTCATTTTGTTTTTGTTTTTTTCTACCATTGCAATGGGTGTAATTAAAACTTTTAAACTTGAAGTGCCACAAAGTCTGCGTCTTTACTACACGTGCTTGCCTACAACCTCTCACAGAGAGGGGCCTGTGTTGTCCATTAACCAGTCTTCCCATTAACCAGAGACCCGCACTTCTTCACCAGCCAGGTAGGCAGCCAAAGGTATGTGTGGATATGGGGAGGGGGGGCCCAGGAGGAGCGGGGTGGGGTGGGGATATCCTGTGTGGTCCCTGCAGCCCAGGAGAGGTTCCAGGCCAGGGGCTCCATGAGGGCAGGGCCACCCACCTGGCAAGACTGCCCTCCAGCCCAGGCCTGGACCCACTCGGGGTGACCACAGTGGGGTCATGTAGTAGTTCCTAGGGTTGCCATAAAAAATGCCCACAAACTGGGTGGCTTAAGACAACAGGAGCTAATTCACAGTTCTGGAGACTGGACGTCTGGAATCAAGTGTTAGCGGGCTGTCGAAGCCTCTCGGGCAGCATCCCGGCGTGCCCCTTCCAGCTGCTTCCGTGGCTCCTGGTAACCCGGCGGTCCTTGGTTCACAGCTGCATAGGTTTGCTCTCCGCCCCCATCTTCACGGGGCCCTCTTCTGCGTCCCATTTCTCCCTGTTCTTTCTTCCTCTTATAAGGACACTGGCGATTGGATCAGGGCCCACCCTAACCCTGTCTGACCTCATCTCCACTCACATCTACAGGGTCCCTACTTCCAAATAAGGTCACGTTCACGTGTTTTGGAAGTTGGGACTTAAGCATATCTTTTTGGGGGACAAATTCAACCCACCACAGGTGGCTACAGCCAAGGGCACCCCAACTCTTCCTCAGAGCCCCTGAATGCATCCGGGAGCATTTTATCATTCACCTGCCAAACCCTGAGGAGAGCTAGGAAGCCAGGCTAGAGGGTGGCCTGAGGAGGAGGAGGAGGAGGAGAAGGAGGAGGAGGAGCTGAATTTTGCCCCTGTGATTCCTGGAAGAAAGAGGGCCAAAGGCAAAAGCTCATCTGACCCCTGACCTCAGAAGGTACTGTGTGAGCTGGCTGGGAGATGGATGAGAGCCAGTGGGAGAGGTCAGCTCGAATTAGGGCCAGGGCCATGCAGCCCTGAGGGGAAGTTTTGGATTTACCCTGAGCGCACTGGGGAGCCACGGGGGGGTGGTGGTCACTGGGGTGGATTAGTTCTTGGGGAAGATCCCTGGGGTGGCTGTGTGGCAGCCAGGCCAGCAGGGAGGTCCCAGTCCTCCCGGTGGCCTGGCCGGCCCATGAGATGGAGGGAAGGGTGGAGCCAGAGATGTAGGGAAGTTTGGCAACTCGTGGATTGGAAGAGTGAGGGAGGGGATCGGGGCAATGTCTTGTCTGGATTTTCCAGCAACTGAAGGAAATAAAGACCAGTGAGGCAAAGAGCCATCAGTCGGGCAAATAATAATAATAATAATAATAACAATAATAACGACAACCCGGCGGTCCTTGGTTCACAGCTGCATAGGTTTGCTCTCCGCCCCCATCTTCACGGGGCCCTCTTCTGCGTCCCATTTCTCCCTGTTCTTTCTTCCTCTTATAAGGACACTGGCGATTGGATCAGGGCCCACCCTAACCCTGTCTGACCTCATCTCCACTCACATCTACAGGGTCCCTACTTCCAAATAAGGTCACGTTCACGTGTTTTGGAAGTTGGGACTTAAGCATATCTTTTTGGGGGACAAATTCAACCCACCACAGGTGGCTACAGCCAAGGGCACCCCAACTCTTCCTCAGAGCCCCTGAATGCATCCGGGAGCATTTTATCATTCACCTGCCAAACCCTGAGGAGAGCCAGGAAGCCAGGCTAGAGGGTGGCCTGAGGAGGAGGAGGAGGAGGAGAAGGAGGAGGAGGAGCTGAATTTTGCCCCTGTGATTCCTGGAAGAAAGAGGGCCAAAGGCAAAAGCTCATCTGACCCCTGACCTCAGAAGGTACTGTGTGAGCTGGCTGGGAGATGGATGAGAGCCAGTGGGAGAGGTCAGCTCGAATTAGGGCCAGGGCCATGCAGCCCTGAGGGGAAGTTTTGGATTTACCCTGAGCGCACTGGGGAGCCACGGGAGGGTTTGAGTGAGGTGTGTGTGT